ATTACTTTTTCAAACTCTTTCTGGTGCGAAAAAGTAATGGCCTAGCAGATAGAATGACGGAAGATGCCTCAGCGCAGTACAGGTGTCATCAAGCCGTGCGATTCTTAAACTTCTTCCTTGGCATCTAGATGCAACAGCGTGGCAGCTTAACGCTGAAAACGTTTCGTGTGAAATTATTTGTCGATTTGTAATTGGAAACTGTGAGGGTGAGGCGTTCTGTGTTCAAATCGATTTTCCATTTCATGAATCACGAGCCCTTAGAGAATGACTGTGATTCCAGGTACGAACAGCTGAAATGGCTTTTCTGAGGTGCAACAGTGCGCTCAGTCGCTTCGACAGTCTCCTGTTCAGAGATTTGGAAACGCCTTGACGTAAAGTTACTGCATCTTCGTTTGAGAAGTCAGAGCTGCGATGGTTTGAGCACTTCTTGCAATCGCCCAAGACCCAGAGCTAGGTCAGAAATGACATGGATTAAGTCAAGTGTCTCGAAGAACTCTGCTCAAAAGCCAATTTACCTTTTGTCGAAGCTGAGATACTGACACAGGTTCAGAAACTTTCGACACACTGTCTCAAACATCTGCCCCCCCCCCCCTTTTTGAAAGGATAGGCGGCCATAGAAACACCAATCGCCAAATGTCAAACCTCGATCTATAATCAAATCCTACACGTCTCGTTAGAAGCTGACAAGCAGTGCAGTATAGTTTGCCGTCATGCATACCGAGGTGGCTTTACGCTGACATGAAAAGAAGTTGTTTGTTGAAGAAAGTTAATCTTTTTGTCCATAAGTAATTGTAGTCTCAGTTAATTAAGTGGAGCAGCAAATGTCAGTGCATGTTGCGACTCTCTTCCAGGTAACATTATTATTCAGCGTCATCTTCTGGTTTTGGAAACTGAGTAAATAACACGATTATTTATTTCGAGCAATGACTCCCGGTTGTGTACAGTCATCCTTTGGGAGGTATGGTCATGTTAGATCATCTCTGCGCAATATACATGTAGCTTTCGGTCCTGTTCCAAAATGAAACCTGATGGTACAGTTTTCTCTGGGGACTATTCGTTCAATATACACAAGCAATTATAGTTCTCACATATAAATGGCATTGTGACCAAGGAGTGGTTTACAAAATGCCATAAGGCCAAATCACTATTTTTAAGGATCTTCATAAGAATGCATAGTTATTGTCTGACAAGGCCGAAATGTGACTGCTCTTGGCTTGGTAAAAGTAAATCTTTTGACGATGCGATTTTGTCACATTGGGCTGAATTTTGTTATTCAAGGTGTTACCATTCTCAGACGTTCACTAACATACCATTTGTGATCGCAATTAGTTGACTGCTGCAAAGCAATACTTTCCATAAAATGGGAATGTTGAAATCTAGCCTCTGACATCGTCGTTCCTTAGTGTTCAACAGGTAAAATTGTAGAAGTCCTCCTGACAGCGTTAAATAAAGCAGTTTTTTCACAGGACTGCCTTTTGCCGGTATATATTAAGTGATTAGAAAAGTGACTCTCGTTTCCGGCACTTTGCACAGTTCTCAACAAGGTTGGATAATGTATGACGACGGAAATCCCATGTGACTCCTACCAAAGTCTCGCGTCATCATATCCGGATTAAATTGACAGTCAGTGAAAATGACCAAGTTGCTCGTAATTAACAGACTTTTATTACTGACATGAACCAGACGTTTCTGCGTTTAGTTTGTCACCGTAAATCCGTTATTTAATTGCGAGCAGTTGTTGATCGATAGTTGAATGCAGTTAAAATTTTCAACTCTGAGACAGAAGACTGGTATAAATAGCAGCATCCCAGAAGTAGCGTCGCTCAGCGCCAATCGTCGTCTCAAATTATGGTTTCCTTCAAGAACAACATTGTTTAGACGTCAGAATTGCCCTTCGACGATCTTAAACTCTTAGACAGTAAACAGGCCATATTTTTGGTAGGTGTGACGTGGTGAGGTAGGAAAAACTTGGTCACTACTTCAACCGTTAAGAAGGTCACGTCGGCACCATCGTGCATCGTTTATAACCGGATTAAGCGGGTACCGTCAGCTGAACTATGACAGCAGCGCGACGGCGACACAACGGCAGACGGACGATGCCACATTTTCGACACGTCGTCGTTGCATGACCACATGTTCCATTTCTGGAACAACAAAAATAATTGTCCACGTCGCATTTAGTGGCTGGTTCGGCTGGGTATGTAATGTATGTAATTTCGTCTGCGACGAACGCTGAAAATGACGATGATAGCCAACGTTCCTTTCTCATCCCGTTATAATATCCGTACCGTACCTTGAAAAACTTGTCCCATGTGATTGGCAAGCGCACATACATGAGCAATAGTCGGGAAACGGCACGGGGCCATGGGTCGAAATTAGCGCTTCGAAGTTCCCTCGATCAATCAGCAACGATTCTAAAAAATTCCACGTCATCCCAATAGGCCATGGTGTCGTTGTGGCTACTCAGTTGCATACTTGTCCAAGACATCGTCATCAATCGTCGTCTGAGGTGCTTTGGGTGCAACGATTATCACGCCTGCTCAACGATCATAGACATCGTCCCATAGCAACTGACCAATCTCCAGAATTTAGATTTTCGTGGCAAAGCAAAGAAATTGCCTAAGGGAACTTCAGTTTTTCATCACATGCGTCATATGTTCTTCTACGCATCGCACATGAGATCATGCAAAGCACAATCATCATCACGAAATTCTGAATTTACCTGAAGGCCAATTATCGGGGTACACGTTACTTCGACTCTTACCAGTGTTTAATGATGTGTGAGTGACTCTCATAAGTTAAATGAATGATTGTTATACTGCCTGAACTGAATCTTTAGGAATATAATGCTACCGCATTAAAGGTCGACATTCTCGGGACCTTATTCGCCCGTCGTCAAGAAGGAACAGGACTATCTTCCCATCTGGAGTAAGAGAATCAGAAGAAATGTTGCGTACAGTCGTCAAGGTCCGTGCTCTCGACGTGGCGAAAATTCAAGTGTCCTGGTCATATGCCCCAATGCACACTGTACACAATCTAGCATGATCGATGATCGGGTGAAAAGCAAATATCCTATGATCTTATGCATTATACTGCGTAGTATAATAAGGGCCATTCGCATTTCAATGACAAAGAAAGTTTAAGCAAAAACATAGCGAAGCATCATAGCCGAATCAGAAAAGAACCACAAACGTAAAACAAGATAAAACGGTGCTATTTACAGCTTCACAATAACAAAATTGTCAGCTGCTGATAGGACAGTCTTTTCCCAAATGAGATTCGTTCGCCCTTGTGAAAAACTCACGTACCTACATTTGAAAAACAACACAAAAATGATCCATTTATACAACATGTACAAACATGCTGTACAAGCGATTATTTAATGGGCGCAGACAGAGAGAAGTAAGTTTTTCTTCACATTCCTGCACTTTACGCAACTGCTCATTCTAAGAACAATGTTTTGTTACGATGAAGGCCGATTTTGCGTGGTCCCTAAGTGGACTGCTTTGTAACAGGTTTCGCAGCATCAGCCGTTGTCTTGCGCCCAAAACCATTGGATGGGAAACTTAGAAGATTTAAGAATTAATGCTATAGAGATAAAACGAACTTTAGAAGATAGTGATATAACTTTATAAAACCTACAATTCAAAGTCCGGTGACTATGACCTGACCTCAAAAAAATCACCTCTTCAATGTCTTGGCATGTGGTGACCTCAATAATTATTAGTTTAATATCATTCTCTCGTAAGAATTTAAATACTGAAAGTAACGAGCTTTATGGAAATCTCTTCTAGCGAGCTTCAGAGCTTACGCTAAATTCTCCCTCCCCTCTGAGTTATAAATTCTTCCCGTTTGCTGCAAGTGAGAAAATAAATAAATATAAGGAAAGCACGAAAGCACTGTCATTAGTATAAAGTCTCTATTATCTTAACTATCGCACATACAGCAGACGAAGGTGTCAGAAAACATATTTATATAAAAGGTCATGCATATTTGCATTTTGTTTGCGTTTCTGCTGGCTTCATATTTTTTTCTTGGGAAAATGTATATGCTGTTATAGATTTATTGTTCTCTCGCGTGCTTGCAACGTCAGAAGTACGTGACTGAGGGGTTAGCATCGAAAATATGAAAACTCGACTTTCGAAGGACACACTTCCTCAACACAGCAAACAGAACACCAGAAAAGAATCTCGCTAAAGGTTGCAAGGCCACTTAACAGATGACTCTGAAACACCTGCAAATAAAGACCATTTGACTGCTAATTGCACCGTTTACAAACAGCCGATCAATTCTCGACGTTATATTCTTCGAACTGCGCTTTCCTTGGTCAAATACCCATCTTGAGACATGGCTGTTTTGAGGTTTTCTCTTCTCTGTACGACCAATCTTTTAGAGGTCCATTGACTGACTGTAAAGGTACATGAATGTGCAAGTTTGAGAACCATGAAGAGTATAACTTAGCAGTGCAAAACAGCAGGTCGTTTAAGTGTTGAGCATTGAAGAACTATTTAGCTTAGACTTTCTTGAGTGAATTAAATATTTTTGTTGAACAGCAAAAAGAAATCTGGGAAATTTGTTAATCAACAGCAGAAAAAAAGTTTATTAACATGAAAAGGAACATTTTGATTTATATTGTGGCAAATGGAAAATTTCGTTCTTCAGTCAGATTTGCATTCATACAGGCCGAAAGGTGGTATCGGTCTATCACATGATAATTAGAGTTATAAAATATTCAGTTTTGTACAACTATTTTTCTACATATTAAATGGAAGTAAAGTGCAAAACGTCCTCCGTATTCTCATAGTAAGGTATTTCTTCTATTAGCTACGCACAGGCCAGAGGTAAATTTCGCTTTTGTCACCTGATTAAAGCAAGTGGCAGTGGTGCCAAGAAGGAACGGCATCGCTGCTTTAGCAGTTACAACTTTTTCCCGTTACGCATCGTAACGAGATCCGGAAAATGTAAGTTTTCAATTGAAAACGACATCAGGAAGCATCAAATTATGGTCGAACAAGCGTGCTGCCGGTGTTGGTCAAGGTGTATGCTCTTGAACGCGACATTTCTGCCTGCAGCGATTCAGGCAAGGTCGGCATGTTGTCAGCATTACGGGTCAAGCCATGTTGTACCACCCATTCGGTCAGCTCCTCATAGGTGCTGAACTTTGTTTCGATCACCAACTGGCTCTTCAGTACCCGAGTGTAAACCGGGTGAACTGGCTTGCAGTCTTTACGATCTACGATCGTTTTACAGTGCGGACAACGGAAACCGACTGCTGAAGCAGCACTGAAATTAAATACTAAATTTAATATTTGACATAATTTTTAGAAAACAGACGTGTATTGCGCAATTTTGGTTTCCAGGTCTTTGATCTGAGCTCTAGCGGTCACCAGTAGGGAATAGAAATTTCGAGTAAGCTTTTTGAGTAGGTTATCTTTCTCCTTAATCTGCTGCTCTAGCAGATTCTTTTCATCATTTGTCATTGAAATGGATTCCTAAAAAAATGAAACAAAACAAATATGAAATTCACGCAAAAAAATCAATAAGAAACTAATCACAGAGAAATTGACTGTCACACATACTTCTACACTGATCAGCTGCTTTATATCGTAGTCCTTTTTAACTCTCCAGGGCAACAAGCAAAATGTAAAGGCAAAATATCCTAGGATTTGGAAGAGAATTACTTGCGATGCATGAAGAAGTTCAACTTTCTCATTCTAGCTCTGGAAAGATAGCGAAAAAGAGGTAAAGAGAATCCTTTCAGATCAAAAATAATCGCAAAGGCCTGTCAAAGAGTCGTGTTTGGACAGGGAAGATACTACCATTAGAGTATTCATTTGCCATCTGCTAGTGCAATTTGGTAATTCGATTGAAAGCAAAACAACCTAGTTCGTAAATGGGAAATTATGCTGAAATACAGCATACAGAAAACTTAGACATATATGACGCAAAAGAATATACTTATGGAGTGATCTACAGCAGTCCAGCGCTCGAGAGACCAGCTCTGTTGCACTGCCCATAATTAGATCACTACATTTTGTTTTTAATGCAGTAATGTACCTAACGAAAAATGTCAAAAACAGTAAGGGCCAGAAACAACGTACATGGATCTTGGGCAAACTAATAACTTTGTAGCACCTACAAGATGATTAGCGGAAACTTAATTCTTCCAGGACGTACTTATGGTGGAGAAAAGCAGAGAATTACAAATGTGACATCATTTTGTGACCCTAACGCTCATCAGGCTAAATCTAATCCTGATTAACAAGGACGACATTGAAGGAAAACAACATATGGTATTACCTGTCGAAAACCATGATTCTCGAAAGCTACGTCATATAAATCAACATTGGGAGGGTGATGATTTGTTCCATTATCGACCATTTTTCTAGCCTAAAGCAATATCGTAATACAACAATGTTTAGCATTGTATAGTTCAGGGCGAATATTTACGACACAATATAAATGATGCATAATCCAAATGCATATGATGTATGACCGTTTCTAGACCAGACCCCATTTATGTATATAACTAGTTTTCATTAGTGTTTTAAATGCATATAAAATATATATGCAATAACAGTTTAATTTCTGACACATGCATTTATCATGCGCTATGATGAAGCGTTTTGCTGAAGCCTTGACAGCAATAGTGAGAAAAGGAAACAAAACCGAATGTTAAAATAACACAGTAAAGCTGATTTATCAGGTGATAGATAAATACAGGCCTTTAGGCCCATACCTCACGCAGCTTTTTCAAGGTAAGAGAGATCGTAGCTGTCGGTTGCAGTGGAGATCATCTGCAGCAGAAAGGTTCAAACACACCAATCGAAACATCAAACAAAACGGTCCTGGTCTATCGTATGATAGCACCTGATAGAACACAGTATTGCATTTTTTAATAAGTAGTATTTTCTATTTTTCAGTATAATTATATACCGCGATTTACAAAGTGCCTAGTGATAATCAGTAAGTAAGAAATAGATATATAACAATATATGAACTGCAAAACTAAGTAGTGTTCCAGG